TAAATAACGGAACAAATGGTAAAGTTGTTTTTTTTTTATTGTTGTCTGTGTGTCAGCACAACAGAGATCCACTCTTTGGGTTTGGGAGCTTTATTTTATGCCTGAATGACTCAGGTTGGGAGTTTAGAGGCTTAACAAACAAGAAAACACTTCTAAAGACAAAAGGTCACATAACCGAAAGAACAGAAAATGAGTGAAAAGAATGAAAAAAAACAACAACAACAACAAAGAAATCTAAGCAATTTTCAGAAAGCCTCAAAAATAAAACTCAAAAAGACTTTAAGAGATTATAACTCAATTCAATTCAAAATACTTTATTAATCCCAAAGGCAAATTAAATGCTGTTGTAGCTCATCATCCTGGTTTCATTAAGTTGTTATAGATGCTGATGGCTGTGGACAGGAAGGATCTGCAGCAACACGTACCACAGTGGATCTGAAGGGACTGGCTGCAGATGCCGATTAGTCCACCAGGACCTAGCAAGCCTCTTGGTCCTCCTGGGCAGCAGGACCACCTGAATGTTGGGCAGAACTCCTCCCTGAGTGATGGTCACTCCTCTCAGCAGCTTGTTGAACTCCTCATTATTGCAGCCAGCCAGCAAAAGGTGTCGGGGGATGATCCTGGTCTTCTTGTTGTCATGAGTCACATTTCCTGCCAGCTCCAGGATCTCAGCAGTCACTCGAGCACCTCCACCAGGTAGACGGAGATGCATCCAGGGCACCTCCTTTACAACTCATTTGTGATTTGGGGCTATATTTGAGGTAATATTTGAGCTTCGAGGTGTTAATCAGCTGCTCCCACCATGAAAAACCCACCATGTTGTCATGGTTACGCTTCATAATGTCCAAAAGTAAAAATGTTTCAGTAAAAATCCTTCCAGATGCGCAGCATCAGATACCAGAGGAAGTACTCATCCAAAATAAAACATTTACATCCAGAAAAAAGAGGAAATGAAGTTTTCAAAAGCAATATCCCAGAATGAAAGTAACAGCTACTCCAACATCTATAAACCTTGAGAGGCGCAAATCTCGAACTAATAAGAAATTGAGGCAAAAATTTTAAATGCCAGAGTTTTAAATTTAAAAAGTAAAAAAAAAACAACTAACCCAGTGGTTCATGAGATGTTTTGCTAACAGAGAGAGACGACCACAACAGTTGATGGCAAACTGATGGAAACAGATTCCACGTCATCAGTTGGTGCTCAGAGCGCGTGTTGAAGACGACTCTCAGCTACTACCACACCGAATTTTACCGCCATATCTGTGAAACCGATTGAGTTGGAGCCGTTTTCGTTTCTGCCTATTCATTTTATTTTAAAATAATAAACAATCTTTTAAATGAGTTCATAAGAGAGAGATTTAAGTTTGATGTTGAGAACTGTGTTTTCTGTAGAACTCAGCTGGAAACAGCCAAGCACTTGTTTTATGAGTGCAGAGAAGTTCAGAATTTATGGAAACTCTTTCATAACTTCCTGTCTTCCAAGGCCAAAAATATAGATTTCTTTTCACTTCATAATATTCAGTTTGGTTTATTTGTCACAGAAAGAAATGTGGAATTTCTAGTCAATATTATGATTATTGTAACAAAATGCTGCATTCATAAATGGCAATTTGCAAAATGCCCCCTCTCATTCCCTGCTCTCAAAAATGAGCTCTCCTTGTTCAAAGGATGCCTCAGTAAGATGCATCAAACACAGCAAAACTGTACGAGTTAATGGAAGAGTTTCAGATAGTAACCCCCCTAACAGTTCTTTTTATTGATTTTTTTATTATTTATTATTTTATTTCATACTTTGTTGTATGGAAGCCCATTTCCGTCATAAAAGAAAAAATAAACCCCCAAAAGGAAGTCATAATTTTGACTTTAAAAGTCATAATTACAAGAATATAAGTCATAATTTTGAGTTTTAAAGTCCTAATTTCAAGTTTTAAAGTAATAATTACACGTTTTAAGGTCATAATTATGAGAAAAAAGTCATAATTATGAGTTTTAAAGTAATAATTATGAGAATAAAAGTAATAATTTTGACTTTTAAAGTCATAATTACAAGAATAAAAGTAATAATTTTGACTTTTAAAGTCATGATTACGAGTTTTAAAGTCATAATTATGAGAATAAAAGTCATAATTCTGATAATAAATGTCATAATTTCGAGTTTTAAAGTAATAATTTTGACTTTTCTATTTTAATTTCAAAGTTTGTCCCTTGCCAGACACCGTGACTCTAGAGGGATGCAACTTCCTGTCAGACACCAGTAGTTTTCCTGCATAGCACATGGATTAATTCATTCAATATGTCCCTCTGCCTTCAAACATCAATTCTTTTAAATAATTATATGTAATGTATACATCGTTTCATCGCCACTTTATATAGCATTTAGTATCGAAGCCCATTTCCACTATGTAATAAAAGCCCAACAGGAAGTCATAATTGAGTTTGAAAGTCATAATTATGACTTTTATTCTCTTTTTTTGTTGTTTTTTATATTTTTATAAATCTTTATTAAAGCAAATGATAAGTATACAACAAACAAATGAATGGAGTATATGAACACAACACTTATATGAACAAACAACCAGGGGTGTGATTTTTAAGGAAATATTGGCAAAGATTTACAGATAGAAATTGTCCTAAGGGCCTTTTTGTTGGTACAGTCTGTTATTAACTTTACATATAGTTCCACATCCTTAATAAAATGAAGAAAGCAAGGCGTTTTGTTATTAAAGTTACATTTATGAATGAAAAATTTGGCCAAAAGAATTAGCAAGTTTATTATATATATATATATATTTTAAATTTAGCATACTTTCTGGGTAATCTAGAAAAAAATTACTTTTATTCTCGTAATTATGACTTTAAAAGTCAAAATTATGACTTCCTGTTGGGCTTTTATTTTCTTATATTTTATTTTCTTTTATGGCAGAAATGGGCTTCCTTATAGTTGTAACCTATGTTACACAAATTATATTTTCTGTACATCTGTTATATAATTGTTGTTGTGAACAAGTCGTTTATTTATTTATTTATTTTTAATGCTTCATTACCAGTGGTGGAGAAAGTACTCTAACACTGTACTTAAGTAAAAGTACAAATAAACAGACAAAAATGTACTCTAGTAAAAGTAGAAGTACTACATTAACATTTTTACTTAAGTAAAAGTAAATAAGTACTTGCTTTTAAAATACTTAAAGTATTAAAAGTAAAAGTACTTCCTGAATGTATTACCTAATAATGGTAATGTAATGTAATATGTAATGGTCTACATATCTTTAAGTCTGCCTACCATATGTATATTTTCTGTAATACATTAATAGTGTTGAGCCATTTTAATGAACAATGCTGCAGATAATACATGTTTTTATTGTGTTTACTCTGTGACACAGTTCACACTTAGACTTGTGATTCTGTGCATCAAAATTTCAGGAATGACCTGCAGAGTTAAATGTCATTAAGCAAAATAAGAAAGAGGAATGATTATACCTTTGAAAGTTGTTATTTAACACAGAGAAAAACCAATGTGTCATTTTAACTGCAGTAAACATATTTAAGTAAAAGTTGTCTGCCTGAACAAAAGGGGCATTAGACCTAACAAAGGAACAGGCACCGATCATTTCCACTGATATTTCAACTCCAGTTTGTCATCAACTCTAGTTAAAATAATGTCTATTCAACCTTGTAATGGGTCAGTATTGAACAATATTGTAACTTCCTGACACCATTTTCAAAACTTGGGCCCGAGTGTCGAGCCTTTTGGAGACATCTCTTGTCTCCTGTCCCAACATCCCATGAACTGATACATTTTAATATTGCAGCAAGAATTTCTTGTTCAAGTTCAGAAGAAGTTGGTTTTTCAAAGATTTTTGAGTCGGAGTCAGTCTCCCCACCATCACAGACATCTACACCTCCAGATGCAGGAAGAGGGCTACCTGCATCATGAATGACCTCACTCACCCAGCACACACTTTTTGCCCCACTCCCCTCAGGAAGGAGGCTGAGAAGCATTAAGTGTAGAACCACAAGACTGAGGAACAGCTTCTACCCTGAGGCTGTTATACTCATGAATCTCTAACTAGAATAATCACATCATGTTGCTGCTGATCTGTTTCAATGTTGATGTGTTCATGCGTGCACATCCGCTCACACAGACTCATGTTCATGTTTGTGCTGATGTTCAATGTTTTATGAGTGCTTAGTGTATATTTAGTTGATGTTTTTCTTAGTTCATATCTTAGATGTTATTACTGTTTTTCTTTTACATTTTATTGTTGGATGTAACTGGGACCCTGTGTACATAATTTCGCTCCACCACATGTACCACATGAGGTGCGAATGACAATAAAGAATCTCTGACTCTTTTGGGAGAGACAAGCTGTCCTGCAGTACTGAGCAGTCTTTCAATAAGGACATGAGTGAAGCATATCTTCTGGCTGACTCTCTTGCGGTGGAATACACTTTGGGTGTAGAGGTGCTGCAGGTGCACCCAGCTCAGTGACATATATACTAGAATATACATCATTGGCCCAGCTCTTCTTGAAGGTGGGCCTAACGTTACCTGCCCACTTTGCAGTGATTCAATGGACCAGCTCCCCTCTCACCATTGGCTACTTTCAAAGTAACAAACAAATCAAAAAGCCGCAACATGAATGTAACTTGTAAAGCAACGCGTTATAGAAATGTAGTGTAGTAGAAAGTACATATACTTGATGTAAAATGTAGTGGAGTAAAAGTACAAAGTACCCACATTCAACTCTACTAAAGTAAAGTACAGATACATGAAAAATGTACTTAAGTACAGTCACGAAATATTTGTACTTAGTTACATCCCACCACTGTTCATTACTCAATAAAAAAAAAAAGTTTCCGCCTATTTATTCCATCCAGCAACTGAGCGCTCCGAGCGCTCGCGCGCACACGTGGGGATTTGTACATTCCAGTGGGCGGAGCCAGTGACGCGCGCGCGCCGAGCCGTTTGTGTGAATGAGCCGCAGCTCCTTGTCCCGCAGAGCCGAAGGAGCTGAGGGAGCGGAGGAAAACTTTCCCAAATGGATTCCTCTGTCGGATTCAGGCATTTCTTTTTATCCTACGTACTCATTAACGGCTTTTTAAGGACGCTGGAAGCTAAAGAAGGTGAGCGTTTTATATTTTAAAACTTTTTATTAAATTTTTTTTTCTGCTGCTTTGGCGTGAAATCTGCGTTCGTGAAGGCAACACGCGCTGCCATGCGGGGGAAGCTCGGCGGAGGAACTTTAAAACCAGGAAACTTAAAAAAAAATAAAAAATAAATAAATAACAGTCGTAAAGATCATAAAGAAAAATAAACATTACTCACGCATGTTTTCAGTTGTATAAAACTACATTTATGGTGAAGCTGCTTGAAAGTTTGTAAGAGCAGCAGCAGGTGAGCAGCTTCTAGTTTGTCAGGATTTAAATCCCTCTGGGATCTGATCCTAAAGTCAGAAGTTTACTTTCTTTAGTGCATCATCATGACAAAGCACATCAAACCTGGAAAAGAGAGAAATGTTTTAGTCTTAATCAGATCATTTCATTCAGTTTCAAGTGTCTCCTTGTCTCCACAGAAGTGCTTTTGGACATGAGGGCAGCAGGAAGAGAGCTGGGCTGGTTGACATGGTCCCCAAGTGAGGGAGACAGCTCTCAGAGAGACAGGACTGGGGTGAGTATCTCTCTGGCTGCAACTTCAACTCCCACGTTTCTGATAGGAATTTGCCTCGGGATAAATTACTGTGGAGCAATTTTACAGGAAGGTGCTCCGGTGCACACACATTTGAACATTTAACTTGCGTAATTCTCCTCTTGAGTACGTATGTGTGTGTGAGCACATATAAAGTCTTAAAGTGTGGCTGTGAGAGAGAGTCATGCTTCCCAAAAGCACATGCAGATAGAGTAGCTGCTTGCCCTGAACTGGAAATACTTGCGGCTTCTTGTGGTTTCGAGGCTTCAACTCCAGAATTGTGTGTTACAGAGCAATTAACTTTTAAAGTTTGCAGCATGTGGTAGCTCTTTTTTTTTTTTGAGTAGGGGCTTCAGCTACCTTTTCCTTACATCAGGGGAAAATGTCTACGTTTAAGTGATGCATCCCAAATTCTGTGGTTGTCTCGTTGCCAGTGTACTAACGACATGTGCGCCTTCCTCCATGGTGCGGTTAGAGTAATTGACCAGCCGGGCTCATGCAGATTCACTGTAAATAGCCTCATTTCATGTGCTGATGACTCAAAGGCATGTGCAGGCATGCTGCGCAGTGGTTCACCTAACTTTCCCAAAGATGTCACCGCTTAAATGTTCCTCTGAAACTTTTAGTTTCATATTTTTGTGTGTCATTATACGGTTTCTCATACTGCGTTGTGTTATAAAAATGTCCACCAGCTGTTTTAGTAGATGTGTAGTCGACACATGCTGTTAGTCGACGTTTTTATTCAGAGCCACACACTTTGCCAGCAAAGCACATTCCTTTAATTAACGGCACAGTGGCTACATACAGAAAGCAAACCGCAGCTTCTGCCTCTGTGGGGGCCAGTTGTTCCTCCTGAGCCAAGGTTAGAAGTTGTTGTCACTTTTTTTTTCTCCAAACATTTCTGTGGCATATAGTTAGTATGCAAGCAGCAATGCTATTTGAGAGTAGAAGCCAACAAATGTAAAAAATCCCCCCAACAAACAAAAAATATATTTTTTTTTCCAGCAAAGGCACAAATCCATTGTCAGGCAAAATGCTTTGAGGTCTGTTGTGTTGTGAGGCTCGAAAAGTGGAGTTCTGTTGGTAGAAAATGTATTTTTACTGCGAAGGACCAGAAAGTTTTCACGGGGAGTGTTTAACAATGTCTCTGTTTTGGTTTCCAGGCTCAGATTTCAGTGGCTGAACCCTCATGGTTAAATGGTTGCTCCTTTATTTGGCGATCCTTTGAGTGTTGGTTCAGCCGGCGTGCTTGGAAGCCCCCTCGTTTTTCTACCTCTAACCTGTTTGGTTTCTGTGGTTTTGTTTCAGTGGGAGGTCCACCAGAGAACCCTGAACGGCTCTCAGTTCTACACCTACTACGTCTGCAACGTGGACGAGCGCGAGCAGGACAACTGGCTGCGCACCACCTTCATCCAGCGGCACGCTTCGGCCTCGCGGGTTTTCGTGGAGCTGCAGTTCATCGTGCGCGACTGCAACTCGTTTGACGGGGCCTCGCTAACCTGCAAGGAAACCTTCAACCTCTTCGTGTTAGAGGCGGACGCGGACGTGGGCACCACCTTCCACAAGGGCCAGTTTAAGAAGGTGGCCACCATAGCGCCTGATGAGATCACCAAGAAAAACGAAATGCACATCAACAAAGAGACGAAAGTTGTGGAGAACCTCTCTCGGAAAGGTTTTTACCTGGCCTTTCAAGACATCGGAGCCTGCGTTGCTATTGTTATGGTTAGAGTGTACTACAAAACGTGCCCGGCCACAGTGAAGAGCCTTGCGGTGTTCCCTGAGACTGTGGCCGGAAGAGAGAACCAGGCACTCAAGGAGGTGAGCGGGAAATGCGTGGAAAATGCCGAGAGTCAGAAGATACCCCAGATCTACTGTACTTTGCACGGGGAGTGGGTGGTACCAGTTGGACAGTGTCGATGCAAACCTGGCTTTGAAGAAGTTCAAGACTCGTGTCAAGGTAAGGACACCTTCCTGCCTTCAGGCGCCTCATCCTAAAGGTTGCAGATCCCTTTACATAGGGCTTACAAACCTTGTTCTAATTGCCATAGCTAATAAAACAGGTCTGTACGACAAATATTTATCATAGGCGCTGCTATCATTGCTCGGTGGAATTTGCCCCTGGCTATCACGACTCCTCTGCAGTGGGAAGAATGTCGGGCCGGTCTGGTACATGTCCTGGCATAATCCCTGACCTCAAATGGGTAAAAGTGGGAAATGTGCTTTAAAATTTCAGTTGCAATTATTCCAGGTCTTTGGAACAGTTTGTGAGAGCACATCTTAATTTGGTCATGGGTTGCTTCATGTTTTGTGTCGTCAGGGATAAAGTTACACAATCACGAAGCAGAAAACACAATTGTATTGCCGGTGTTTAAATATATTTTGTTCATAAATTGAGTTTTTCTTGTTGAAATTATTTCTAAAGAGGGGCAGCTGAGGCTGAGTGGTTAGATAAATCGTCCTCCAATAGGAGAGATGGGGGTTCGATTCCACCAGCAGTCACATGCTGAAGTGTCCCTGGGCAAGACACTGAACGCCTCATTGCCTCTGATGTGTGTCCCATCGGTGTATGAATGTGATAAAGCTCTGATTAATCTTTGTAGAGATCTAGTAAAGTGCTGTATGAATGGGTGAACGAGGGCACCGATAAGCGCTTTGAGTATCTTGATAAGATAGAAAGCTGCTACACAAGTACAGTCCATTTACCATTTTTTGTGCATTTTAAACTTGTATAAGTTGGTCACAATGATCCTGATGCTAAAGATTCTGTATATTTTCTTTAAAACACTGGTTTCTTAGAACAAACGCCCACAGATTTTCTTTAAGCTGCTTTATTTTGGGCATGACCATGACGGTGTTTTAAATGACGTCTTCCAAACCCTGTTCATGGAATGCCTTGTTCAAACACTTCAGCGTTTACAGCCCCTCACCCTGTCCATAACCTGCGCCAGGTGATTTCCTGCTCTCTCATAATCATCTGCCGTCTTATCTTGGTATGAGTTTGCTCTGCACTCCAGCCATAACTCAGGCCTTAGACTTTGTAGTCCTGCCTCGGTTGTGTTTTAACTCACTGTAAAGAATGACTTTATTGTTGGGAAACTCATCAAAGTAGCTGAGGGCTTACTGGACTTGATGGATTGGCGTTTTCAAGGCAGATGGGAGGAAGGGGGAGGAGAAGGGATGCAGCTCCTGAGCCTCTCTGACTTTGTTCACATGCATCACAGAAAGCAGAAGCCCCCGCTACACCCCCCCTTCTCTCTTATGATCAGGCATGTTTGCCCCCTGCATGTTTCCACATCCATCTTTTGCTCCCCCTTCCACCCCCCACCTTGTACACACTGAACCTCAGCTTTCGAACATGGAGCAGCGGGTGGCGTGTGAGGGCCTGTTGGGATCTGCTGCATGACAAAAACACCTGAAGACTCCCATCAGCCCTAAGAGGTATTCCTTCTTCACCTCTTTTGTTTGCACACTCACACTTGCACAACTTGGAAACACTCTCAAAGAAATACCTGAAACACACACACACACACACACACGTCAAACTGCAGCTATAAATTCACACCAGGCCCTGGTTATGATAGTTGCGCCTCCCCACTTCGTTTTCCCTCCCGTTGGCAACAGACCGATACAAGATTTGAAGTTTTATGTCGGTGCATCAATTTTCGCTGCAGTAAAAAGCAATCAAAAAGAAAAAAAAACAAAAACGGGTGAGATGATGGAGGAGGAGGCGAGAGGTTGTGTTTAGAGGAGGGGAGTGATCCTCTGTCGTTTTTTTTTTAAACGGACAGGGGTGAGGAATGGAACGCAAAGGTAGCAGAACAATGAAGTGCTGTGTTTTCCTTGAGAAAGAGAGACGTAGCCCACCTACACTTACCCACTGCCCCCCCCCCCCCCACACACACACACACACTCTCTTAGTTGGTAAATTCCTGATCAGTTTGTTGAGAAAGATCCTCCCAACATTACTGCAAACCTGTGGAATTCCCAGGAGGTGGTGAGGAGGTGAGGTGGGGAGTTAACAAGTCCGGGTCAAGCCCTCACATTAAAACGACTAAACAAAGAACCCCCCGCCCCACGAGAACTACCAGGATGTAGTCCAACGACAGGTCTGAGACGCATGGAGGCAGTTGTAGATGAAGATGAAAATGAATCAGGGGGCCGCAGTGCCGAGCCAAGACAAACGGGACGGAGGGCTCTCCAACGAGTGCACAGTTAATCATTCTCCCCACTTCTTTCCTGTATGGATTGCTGCTCAGGGGAAGAAAAACCCAACCCAACCACAAAAACTTCGACTGTGGTGCCTTTTTTTTCTTATTTAGGTTGAAATTTTCCATGTTCTGCGATGTGTTCACTCAGTTTTATAGCTCTTCAACCCCACGGGACGTGTTGGAGTAGAGATCTGAGCTCTGGTTTGTGTCTTCGGCTCTCCATCGGCTCTCACCGAGGATTTTTGGCTTGTCTCTCAAATCTTACACGTTTTTTTTTTTTTTATCTTTGCGTTAACGATTCTGGTTGAGGCTGTCTCCTCTCGTTGGCCTTCAGTCGCTTTTGATATGAAACAAACAAACTAAAGATAAAAAAACACTTCCTGTGGTGTGGAGACGCGTAAAATCTTAGAGGTTATAAATCATAACGAGGCTGTGGCTAAACACAAAAAGGGCTTTGTTATCAGTGAAAACATTACAGATCTTCATAATGAGTTATGGTTTATACAAAACCACAATCCTCAAAAGACTGATGAAAGACTACTGGGTGTACATTTAATTTTATTTTCATGCAGTTAATTACCTTTTGTTGGAACATTTTACATGTCTCTTCTTTTTATTCTTGCTATAACAGTACACAATTCAGGCTTTATACAGTACCGTGTCTTTATATCTCGCTTTCAAGGAGCCAGAGTTTTTCATAATCTTTTAAAGTGGTCAAGGACATTTTATCATCAATCAAAGTTTCAACGTTTTCATTAGCATTTTGGCTGCTTTTACGCTCACATATTCATTCTAGCACTGTACCTTTTTTATATATATTTTATAATATTCTTCAGTGTTTTAAGCGTGAATGCTCTTATATATTATTTTTACGAGTTCTTGGTCAATATGTGCTAATTTAGGCAATATGAGCAGTAATTGTTATAGTATTTTAAATTAAAAATGCATATTGACGAAATAAATAAATAAAATCAGTGTTGTATGTTGGCCATTTATCCTGATTTCTAAAGTTCAACATCGGCTAAAACGTCCATTATAGCAGGTTTCCAAACCTGGTCTTCGAGGAACACTATCCTGCTGTTTCCCTGCTTTGGCGCACCTGATTTGAATGATTTGGTGATTAATAGGCTTCGGCAGAACTTGAGGAAGTACTGTAATTAAATCACTGAATCAGGTGTGATGAAGCAGGGAAACAGGTAAAACGTACAGGATGGTGTTCCTCAAGGATCAGTGTTGGGAACCATTGCATTATAATAAACAATTGGGTGGACCTCTTCTTTCAAATGCTGCTCGTCTGCTGCATTTTGATTTGTAGGTCGGACATGTCTACGTTTTGTCCTTTGCCTGTCCACTCTTCATTTTTCTTCAGTATGTAGTCAGTGTCAGGTGCAAGTACTTCATAGAAAACGAGTGAACAACAACAACAAAAGATGGCTTCAAAAAGAGCTTCAGACACACTTAAGAGTCAAGACCACAAACAAATTTAAAGAAAAAACAATTGGGATTACTTTAAAGTTTTTTGCACAGTAGTATATAAGCATAAAAGCATTTTACTTTGTTCTTCTGATGACTTCTATCCATAGACGTCAATGCACAACTACCCTTCTTTTTTTCCTTACGTGGGAAAGTGTATAACCGAGACGTTTTTATAAACTATGGTTTCTAACCGTGACTCACTTCACATTCTCGTTTATTTTATTCATTCTTTTTTTGCCATAATTCTGGTACAATTTAATGACGATGCGTCACCCCTCATCCCGACCTGCCTCAGCTGATCCTTGGGCTTGTGTTGAACTGTCCTGGTAAACACCTCGCCAGCTACCCATAAAGCCTCGGCAAACAGGACCTAATCCAACGTTATGGTTGCACAAGGCTCTGTGTATAAACGGGGACGTGGTGCGGAACGTTTGGAGCGCCGAGGGACAGTTTGACGCTTGGGGAAAATGTCATCCCGGTGGAACAACTGTCCACTGAATTCCAGTAAAGCTATTACTCTGCCCAAGGAAGGAGGTTCCAGTAAACCATTTTCTCTCTCTCCCACTCTTTCCTTCTGTCTCCAGACTCGGCTGATGTAACAAACGGTTGGTGACTAAGCTGCAGTGTAACTGCACACTGCGATGAATGATTTGTACAGGTAGTAATTGACTTAGGTGTGTTTAGGCTGTTTGAGTGAACTACTTGTTCGGCTACCCTTTCCGTATTTGGATAATCTGTTTCTGACCCCCTCGTTTCTCAAAAGCCTCATTTCAGCCTCAATTTTCTGCCTCTCATCTAGTATTTATTTGTTCATTTCTTATCCCAACACTTTATTCCCATGAATATTTTGCAGTGCTCTATGCTGTTTACTAATGAAATGCACTCTGTTGTGCAAGCTGCTCCAACGACAACAAACTAAGAGGCAAACAGGGTTTTTTTCCGCTACTTGTTTTGTGTTCATGTTAGCCATCAAATGACACGATGACTGTTATTTTTGGCTAATATGCAGGTCATGAATCTGACACCAAAAGAGTTTAAACATCCCGTTTCACATGGCCCTGATGGGATTATTTAGACTGTGTACGCTTGAGGTATTTCTCCCTGACTGACTTTTAAAGGTAAATAAAGGCCAAATCAGAACAATGCTGCCAATTAGGGAGATGAAGACAGTTCGCACAGTGGTTGAAGCATAAACACTTGATGGAGATACAATTGAAACCTTTAGGGATTCTCATTTTCCTCGTTTGACAGTCTCAAAGCCTTGTTCTGAGAA